ACATTGCAAGAGGCTTATTAAAACTATTCAGCTGCCGCGAGCCAAGTGTAGCGACAAGTCAAAGGCTTTTAAAACATTTGAGTGTTACTACACTCAAATATCGACAGATTTAGCCAGTGTTAAACACGCATCTGTCAAGTGCGTTAAATGACTTTAACTGTTGAGCTGTTGTAAAGGAAAAACTGGAGGTCTTTCCCAGGAATCTGAGGTACATTGTTGGCGCTCGCTTTTAGTCCTGGTCAGACTGCGGCGAGGACTGCTTTTGTTTCTCGAAGGGTAATCAGGGATTAAACCATCTCACGTAATGCTAATGTCAGTCTGCTGTTGGTTTAATTACAGTACACAGTCACCAGCTAAAAAATAGTAGAAAATCATAAAAGAAAATAAAAACTAAAACAATTCATTTACTTTCAAAATGAGTTACAAAATGATGAGACAGTGTGACACAATAAATTACCTGTCATGTAGTACGACAGGCATCGTCTCTCCTCTGTGTGCAGGGTGATCCATACCCTCCCCCCAAAGCACACCTGGACAAAAACAGGAAGAAATCAAAGCAAAGTTCTTAACAGAATTAAATCCAAGTTCAACACCTTAAATAATAATAAATAAACTGAACACTGTCTACTTGAATTTCTTCCAAGTGGCAGGAGATACAGAAGACTAGGATTAGTCAGACTGGGAACATTTTGTTTTCTCTTCAATATATATGTAACCCACACCTTTTTCAAACAAACATACAACAAATAATATATACGCCAATGTGTGTTTGTTTAAAGGAGTTCACCTTATTTAAATGGTTGCGGATCGAGTACTTTCTGTATTTGTGAAACCCTAGTGAAATAGCTGCACAATTAAGCGATTCTATTACTGTATACATTTTATTCTTCACAGTACAACCTGAGTCACAGCACAAATAAAGTTCTCTGTGTGAGTTACAAGTCACATTAAATAATAGTAAGCACATTAGATTGCTCTTCCTTAAAGCAAAAATGAAAATAGGGAAAAGGCACAACAATCTCTGTAACTACTTTCTTGAAGAAGCTATTCAGGGACAGCAATCAGACTTCCTTGGTATATCAGTACGCCACATTTTGACTTGGCAATACTTCCAAACTCTGCGTAGCAAATGTTATTTAAATTGATCAAATTCCCTTTTGTACAGGTGCTTTTAAAATGAGCTTTAGACCAGGGGATCTCCAAGTCCAATACCTCAGGAGTCAAAATCCAACAGCAATATAAATGCAACTCTTCGCACATTAAAATCAAAAGAACTCATTAGCATCTAATCAAGTTCTGCAGAGATGTTGACAGTTCTCCAAAACTGAAGGAAGAAACACATGCTGTAGACTTTGAACAGACAATAGATGTTTTCTTGGTGAATATAGCTTATGAAACGTTGAGAAAAATGTTTAAGTTCGATTTAATCTACTCAAAACACATTCTACCACAGGGTTAGGGAGATTTTGGTCATTTCTATATGTTTTTTTTTGTTTTTAATTAAATTATTCCGTAAGACAAACCTAGTCCTTGGTGCAGGAATACAGAGAATGAACAATCATTACTTTTTGGCTGCCTCTCTGACCTTTGTTGATTTTGTAGTCACTGTTTTCTTCTAAAGTTATTGATGACTGCATTCTTCTAATGCAGTAACTGCTTAAAGGTAAGCAGTAACAGCTTACCTTTATGGCAAATACTTTTTATTTATTCATTACAAGAAAAAATACTGAATTTTACGCTTTTAATTTGTTATTTATGTAACCAAGAAAACGTTTATTGTCCAGGGCAATAGACTTGCCCTGGACAACATAAACAAGAGTTCAAATAAAACATTCATCAGAATACACACACACAGTACAAAAAGCAATTGAAAACAGTTAAATAAAAATTTAAACTGATAATTCAAAGTATAAAATTAACACCAGTGTTTTAAATTAAAAAAGAACACAGTTGTGTATTTAACTGATTTAAAAGTTAAACAGAAGAAATTATATTTTCAACTTGTGGCTTTGTGTATAACTGGACTAAATAAAGGGTAAACAAATATCTACAGTGAGCATAAGTAATCAACACAAATTTACTTCTGTTTTTAAACAATTTAGCTTTTTCAAAGTGGGAAATAAAGGCTCCTTTCTCTTTATGTGATCTTTCCTATTTAAGTTTGATCTCGGTTGTTATGACATTTGTTTTGAAGGTTCGCAAAGATAAACAACAGAGAGCTATAGGCGGATCTAAGTGTGTTTAAACTTGAGGTATGTTTTGTTTTTAAAACTCGTCTCTCAGCGACAGTGCGGTCTTATTTACTAGCACTAAAACAGATTAAAACAACATAGGACAGTAGCCAGACAAAACCAAAACCAGTCAACACTGTCAAATCTCTGTTGCTTTTCTGGTCATGTTGTTGCCTTCACAATGTCGGTCCATTCTCCTCCTCTGGGATTCAAGCCCTAGCTAACTAGCTTAGCCGACACTAACGTCAACGCTTGCTAGCCTAAAATCTCGGTAAAAGACTCGACTACTTTAAGATTATTAAGTTGGAAACAAGTCTCCAAATCCAGCTTTAGTAGGTTTAGTTAGTTTAGTGAGCCGTAACTGCCCGGTGTCAGACGAAAATTTAGTTGGTTTAGTTAGTCTAGTTGGTTGATTGATATGCAACAGCCAGCAGATGCCTGAGCCCAACTGTCAGCTGGTATTCGTTCAGTTAAATAAGCAACGTGCGATATTCCCACCACTTTACACGTTTTTTCACACAGTACGTAAACTTTTAAGTATATATATATTCCATTACCTTTCGAAGCACGATAACCTTACCAGCGTCCCTGTTTTCCTTCCCAAGCCCCTCAAATCCACTTACAAGGCTGAAGCCGCCTTCTTCTCCCGACAATCCAATGCTATTCTCGTTTACTGTTGAGCAGGGAACATCGAAACTTCCCATTGGTGGAAGAGTCTGGCAATCTTCTGCCATTGGCTCAAAACTTCCGTTACTAAATAAAGTGGTTTTAGGAAGAGCCTGCTTCATGTGCGGCACGTTGAGGCTGGCTGAACAGGGTGTACTCCTGTGCTCTTTAAATGGGTAGGTTTCCAGACTACCATTTGTCCAGTTCACATGTGTGTATTGCAATATATACATATATTCTATTTTATTTTTTTCAAAATGCTCAGATATGTTTTACATTGAAGTAAACAGCACATAACTTGTAATAATGCCAAAAGCTGAAGTAAGATTTATGTGCTACAGATTGCTAAGTTAATCAGAGTATTCACAGCTTTAAGTGGAAGTCAGTTTTAAAATTTGTTTAATAGTGCTGTCTTAATTTTTAAGTGGAATTGTATTTTATTCCCTAAAAATCGGTTCACTTGCCCTCACAAATTTGAATTTGAGTGAAATCTGCAATGTTTAACACCTTGCAAACTGAACTTTTCTATGAAGACTTCCCATGTGGTTTATGAGTTTGTTAATAGAAAATTGTGACCATTCTTCAAAAAATATATTTGTAAGAATCTTACAAACATATTTGTAAGGTTCTCACCTAACACTGGTGTTAGGTGAGAAGACTATCTTAAAGTCAACACTTTATCTCAGAAGTGGTTTTACTAGATTGAGGCCAAGACTTTGTGGAGTATAGTCAAGTTCTTCCACAACAAACTTGTTCATCCGTTTTTATGGACTTTTTTAAAAATGTACAATCATGTTGGAACAATAAAGAACCATCTCAACACTGTTTGCAAAATCTTAGGAGCATGATATTTTCAAAATGTCTTGGTAAGCTGGAGCACTCGTGATTTCCTTTCCCTGGAACTATTGAGCTGAGTCCAATTTCAGAAGAACAGCCCTCACTTGGCCAAATGAAGTGAGGTTGTTCTCCTGGCAACTACTGAACGCAGAGCCAGTCAGAGCAGCATGATTACGGAGTTGTCACTCCATAGAGCACATCTTCAATGTTCTAGCAGCTGTGTTGCGCTTTACAAAATCACATCCAATGCTTTGCATTGCACTTGGTGATGTGAGGCTTGCATGCAGCTGCTTGGCCATGGAAGCCCATTGCAGGAAGTTCTTTACACACTGGTCCTTCACTAATCTCAAAGCTGAATATGAGTTTGGAAGTCAGTAGCTATTTACTCTGCACTCTGTATGCGCCTCAGCATCCTCTGACTCTGCTCTGTGATTGTTTGAGTTTCTGTCATTCCAAGTCACTTATATGTTGTTATAATACTATTTACAGCTTATATTTCACAGCAAGGAAAGTTTATAACACTTGTTGCAGGTGTGCCATTCTATCACAGTGCCAGGCAGGATGTTGAAGAAACCTCTGACTAAAGACAATCAAATATTAAGTTTATAGTCCTATGTTGTCCTAGTGGTCTGTCATTTCAGAAGCTTTCTTTGTAAATTAATTACTTCACCAGCTCATTGACTCAGATGCTGCTATCCCAACTGGTAACTGCTGCTAATACTTGCACAAGCTCATAAACATTTTTCTGCAAACCTCAAATACATGTAGAAGTAGAATTTGTTTGATGAATTTTTGCATATTGCCTTGTATTCACTGACTCAATTCAGTTTTGTGTGTGGCTGTATAATAAATAAACAAATCACATAGACTAGTTAATATATTTTCATTGGCATGTTCTGAAAACTTAACGTGTTTAGACACATGCAGTCTGCTCTATATTGCAGACTGCATGTGTCTAACACTCAGTTTTAATCAAAGCTTGCAATTAAAAAATTCAATGTATCACCTGGGAAATATTTACCTTAGAAACAACTCAGAAAATAACCATAATATAATATAATATAATATAATATAATATAATATAATATAATATAATATAATATAATATAATATAATAATATAATATAATATAATATATCGTTTTCCTTTTACAGTTTTAATGCTTTTCTTGTTATTTTTTATTGATAAGCTATTCTCTCTTCCTGTTCCCAATGAGCCCGGTAGGGGGCAGTAATGTCTCTAAACTACATCGACTTGTCATAACAGCGGAGTAGAAGCAGCTGCGCCCCGCCTTTTGACCCACCCGTTTACTCTTTATGGAATCACCGTTAAAAATATTGTTGTTTTAGGTTAACGGCTCGTTTGTGAAGTAATTCCTCGCCTCGTCGTCAGCTGTACAGCTGTTCAAGAGTGGTGCTGCAGCCGGAAAGTGTCTTCTAACTTCAGATTTTATGGTGGGCGCTTTGCTGTGATTGAGACAGATTTATAAACGGGCAGAAGGCTACGTTAGCATCGGAATACATTTGTTAGCCTGTCAGCTGGTTAGCATAGACTAACATTATGGCGTTAGGTTAGACAGGAAAGTGGCTGTTCCGCCGAACCGTCGGCCACAATTGCTAATTTTGATAAGACAGGGTATAAAGAGATAACGCATATGTACGTCACCCCAAAAGTCCCAGTTTAAGCGTTTACACAGCTGTCTAACGACTTAGTTGGACTAGCTGATGAGCTAAACTGGCGTTAGCATGGCGTCAGATACAAGTGACAACGAAGAATTCTACGATGCTCCAGAGGACGTCACCTTGTCTCCGAAAGAGTAAGTTAAGCATTTTATATTAAATTTTACACATACTTAGTATGTGTAAAATTAAACAGATTATTTTTTTAAATCTGTCACTTGATATTAGTTAATCAAAGGCACAAATCGTGTTGCTTCATTTAAAAAGGAACCGTTTCAAAAAGGATTAGCCCGTTTGGTTTTCTTGCCGTTTTCATTTGTTGTACTGTACTTCACTTGAGTAGCAGGTAGATATTATAAGAGGGAGAAGCCAAATAAGTGAGTCACATGATAGGATAGGTCTCAAACAGAAGGATAAGGTTACTGTGCACATTTTCTAGTTTCAGTTCAAAACACAGCAAAAGGACATCTGTCAGGTTTAACCAGAATAACATAAAACACAATGTACGGAAAAACGGACACCAAACATGGCATTGAAGGTGTTGGTTTCTTCACTTGTAACTTGATCTTTTTCCTCCATCCTATTTACTAAATATCAGAGGGAAGTGTTTGAAGTCATAGTCACACATTGAACTTCAAGTAAAGCCCAACAATTTTGGCAAATAAGCTTGGCTAGGCACAGTCTTGCTAGATATGAGCAAAGTGATTTATCTTAGGGTTAAAAATACTAAGAATCCTGTGATGGCTGCAAATTGCAAAAAAAAAAAAAACCTAACTTTTTGGGATTATTGCCATTGATGTCAACTTTCCTACAGCTTACTCGGTAAAAGCTGCATTTATTCTTCAAAATATAATTGAAAGTTATTATTTTTGTACCGTTAGTTTCACATCAACTGCAGGTTGATGTGAAACTAGTGTGGTAAATTTTACTTGTTGATAATGGGAAAGTTTTATTTTAAGACCGATATTTCTGTACACGAGACTGATGAAATGATAAATATTCACAAAAGAATTTTTAAGATAATTTGTAGTATCACTTGTATTGTTATGACATTAAGTACCACATTATCCATATTGGTTATTCCCATATGTTTCCCTCTGAAAACTGGTTAGGAATACAAAATGCCTCGGTAATCACTGCACCTATCATCTCAACTCTCTATCATTTTAGGACACCTGCAAAGCTTGTCATTCCGTCAACTCAGGTATGTCTGTTTTAAATCAAAACTTTGTTGAAATTATGTATTTAGTGATTTCTGATCCTTTTGGAATAAAGAGCTGAACAAAAATGCAGAGGTGGTGTGCAGGAGGAAACAAATACTTCTCTGCTTTTTCCAAAGAAATAAACTTTATAAACCAAGTAATTTAGCAGGTGTTGTTTATCTGAAGCTTGACTGATTTCTGAGCGTTATTGACAGTTTGTTGTTATTTCAAATTGTAGGACATTTTATGGTTTTAATTGCTTTTATAGTACACTGTTGGCACAGACTTAGTAAAGATTTTGGAAAATTCTCAATGATTCTAGAGAAGCAACTGATGCTTCAGAAGCTTTTGGAGGCCATAATTTTTTACTGTTTCCAGTTTCCCAGGAGTTCATGTTTCCACATGTTCATCCTGAGGTTAAATTGTGTAACGCTCTGAGAACCAAAAGGCTAAATCTCTTTGAAGGATTTTGTGTTGCCATAAAGTTAAAAATTAGATTTAACGGGTATTGCTCTTGCAGACAGGTTGCAAAGTTAATAAATTCCTTTACACAAAATTTGATTAAAGTGGAGATATCTAGCTGTACAATTGAGTAAAGTATTTCGTAAGAAGCCAATGTGCCATATCTGAATAAAACAAACATAGATAAGTTGGGTCTGTTTAGCATCTACCTTGCAGCAAGGCAGTTGACTTCATTATACGGAAAATTTTTCTCAATGAACAATGACTGATGTTACTGTAAAAGTTTTATTAATCTGAGATTTTATAATTTTTAAGATCTTCTGTATAAAATTATGTTTGTCTGCAGATCCCTTTAGTCAAACAGCGTATTTGTTTCTGTGACTTTATGTTATGTTGCCTTTGGACACCAAAACGGCTTCTTAAAGCCCATATTCAAACTGCTAACAAAGTTATCTGTATTTTTTTCTGATAAGTAAACCTACAAATATATATTTTTTAAATATAGAATAATGTTGCTTTCAAAATGAAATATTACAAAAAATGATTTTGCTATTTTAACACCGACATTTGTTTATTTCTGTTTATTAGGAGACATCAGAGGGCTTGGTGACCTGTGGCTCAACGGAAACTCAGCAGGATGATTCTCTGCAGGTTTAAATTTCTAAAAAAATAAAATAAATAAATGAAACTCATACACCTCAGTTGTAGTTTGACATGAGAGCTAGTATTTGCAGGCATTCTTGAATAAACTCCTGTTTCTGTTTTGTTCCTAGATCATTGATAGCATCATCGAGGAGAGTCAAAAAGAATGCGCAATAGATGTCTGCGAGGTGGTCGAGTTGTTGGATCAACTGCAGGTTGATGTGAAACCCGAGCCAAAAGGAGAGTTGGAAGCTGGGGATGTTTCCCTGGAGTCAACCGTCCTGGTTGTCGCACCTGAACTTGTCAAGGGGTCGGAGGAGCGACAGGAAAGCGTTACGACGAATGGAGAATTCTCTTTAGCCACTGCCGAACTCCCAACTCTGCCTGGACCTTCAGCCGAGTCACAAGAGCGAGTGCAGCCTCCGGACCTCACCAGCACCATCACTCACAGTCAGGCGGACGCTGGCACCGCTCTGGTGGCAGAAGTGGAGAAGGAGCAGAGATCCGCAGACATCTTGGACCAAGTTCCCTTAACAGACAGGCCGGTTCCAACAGACTCACCAGGGCCCTTGAAACCCCCCCGACAATTCACAGTAGAACCCGATATTGTAGCCAGCACAAAGAAGCCTCCTCCCACGCGGCCACCACCTCCTGGTGGTGGTCCACCGCCCAGACCTCCACCACCGTCTTGCCGCAGCTTACCCTCCAGGATGTCTCAGGAATGTGTGAGGCCAAGTGGTTTGGAAGGTGAGAAACTACTGGCTGGTTCTTCAAAAACAGAAGTGAAAATTTTAACTCATCATGAAGCGGTTTTAAGTGTTTTGCAGACAAAAGGTCTGAAACTGGGTTTCTGGTTTGTTTGAACAAGTCAAAGCACAAGTAAATCAATAACAGAACAGCAAAGACATTGCTATAATTTCTTCAAACATGACACACAGTATGACATTCTGACACACACTCATTCCCCAGCTCAAATTTTAATAACTTTAGTAATCTCAAAAGTTGACACACCCCTGTTAAAATACCAGGTTTTTAGAATATAAGCAAAGTACAACATGGTGAATAGAATGCCACATAATTCAGCTGAGAATCACCTGTTATGCTGGAAATGTGAGGGGGAAAAAAATCAAGTTACATAAGAGTTCACACCCAGATTTGATTCAAGTTCAGCATTTTGCTCTGTTCACTTCACACCTACCTGTAGCTGTCCTAGATGGAATTTTGAGACTTTTCCATGGGTAAACCTGTTAAAATAACTTTACTGGACAATAAACTGTCCCAGAAAATCTGAAAATGACCAACAATAGTATTGTTTTGAGACCATTTTCAACTTTTTAACTTTAATTTTGTACAGAACGCTCCACACAAAAACAGACATTTTAAATATTCAAAATAAAACATAACAAAAACTATAAATAAAAACCACACACAACCAAAACCATGAATAAAATGAATTATGAAATCTCTGTAAACAAAATTGCCCTTTGAAAAATGTTATCAAAATGGAAATTACTGATCTAATCTTAATTTAACATGATATTAATTAATTATGACAGCCTTATCTATGTGTGTATACTTAGCTCAACATATATTTTGCAGAGACTGTACTTAGATCACCTTATTGTACAAAAATTGTGAATAAGTGAAGGCAGCCATCAATAACTGGAACAAAACGGTACATTTTGTGCAGCTTGTCCCATCAGAGGGAAAGGTAATAAAAGATAAAACAATTAGCAATTAATTAATTAATTAAAACAATTAATTTTGAGAACATGCCGGGTTATTTTTTTATGTTGTTTGACTGCAGTGAGTTCGGTTACCGGTGATTCTCTGGAGCCGTCTGGCCTGATGTCTCCCTCCAGCACAGTGAGGTGTCTAACTAAAGACCTGCAACATTCCCTGGATCTGGCCAGCGCCACGAGTGGAGACAAGGTGGTGACTGCGCAGGTCAGTGAGTCCGTAGACCAGGAGTTTTTTTTTTTTTTTTTTTTTTTCTGCACAAAATTAGGTACATTTCTTTAATGTGCAATTGCGTTCTGTTTTTTTATTAATTTGTTTAATTTTTAGGAAAATGAGGATGAACCAGCCTTATCCCAGAGTGGAGAACAAACCCCCGGCCCTCAGCGTCCTCGTTCTAACTCTGGCAGAGAACTGACAGACGAAGTGAGACCCGTTCCATTTTAGTAGGATTTTACCATTTGTAGTGAAGTGAGATTTGACCAGTTTTAATGCGTTTTTGTTGTTGATAATAAAAATCCCACTTGTAAATGGGATTTTTACATGCCCCTTGAAGTTTTTCAGATTTTATCACAAGTTTTATTGTGATAAGATGACACGTAGTGTAAAATTGTGAAATAATACATGGTTTTTATTTTTCCAAAAAAATTAGAAGTGTTTTAGCCTGCTTACACTGATGCCTCCAAATGAAAATACAACTGATCAGTCTACTTAAACTGACCGATCAGGAAGAGAAAAGCCCAGAGGAGCTGCAGGAATCTACAGCTGAGGAAGAAGAATCAGCTATTACGGTGTACGCGACAAATCTGACTTTGAAGAGTAGCAAGAATGAATACATTTTTAAAAGAAAACTTAAGGAGTCTAATTTGCAATTTTGCTCAATCTTTGGTGGAGTTGGAAGTGAAACTTTAGGGATACATGTAAAACTATCGCTCTGAACGCACAGTTCCCACAATCTGTGAAAAACTGTTTCGACAGCATCATGTTGTGAGGATGATTTATATTCAGCAGGAACAATATTGCTGTTGGTTAAAAACCACGTGCAATGTTTCGTATTCTCACCTTAACCTTCTTGTTTCTTCAAACTACCACTTCAGTTCTCACTGCCTGCTGCTCTTTTTCTCAACTTGCTCATATTGCAAAAAAGAAAAAAGACATCAGACAATGCTCTGAAAGTGTGACTTTCGATTTCCCACACTTATCAAACTGTGTGGGTTTGTCTGCCCGACGCTCTGCGAGAAGAGGAAATGCTGCTGCTGCATCTGCAGTCTTTATCCAGGCTGTTTCTCACTAAGTTAATGTGTGACTGACCACAATTAGCACTCCATGATTCAAAATCATTTAGTTATTATAAACTACAGGAAATCAAAGCCAGAGTTCCAGCTACAAAATTTAATGCATTTTTGATTGATATTTTTTTTCAAGAGCTCCACATTCGCAGCCTGAGTCTCCACTGCTATTGAAACGCATTTCTATGTGATTGTAATCAGGAAATACTGGCCAGTGTCATGATCAAGAACTTGGACACTGGAGAGGAGATTCCCTTGATTCAAGCTGAGGAGAAACTTCCTACAGGGATTAACCCTCTCACTCTGCACATCATGAGGAGGACCAAGGAGTACATAACGTGAGTCAAACTAAAACTGATTACATTTTAGTTCATTTTAACTATATGTAAAGGAAGCTGCTATTTTTTTCTTCTCCTAGTAACGATGCGGCACAGTCGGATGACGATGAAAAGTCTCAGGCTCCGCTGACGGACACGGATGGAGGAAAACTGAAGCAGAGAACGTAATGTTGCTGAGCTGCCTTTTTTTCCCTGGCTTTCTCTCTCTCTCCTGCTGCGTTTACATTCTGTGATTTTATTTAAAACATTGCAATGCATTTGTCTTGGTTTTTAACCAGGACCCAGCTAAAAAAGTTCCTGGGCAAATCTGTGAAGAAAGCCAAGCACCTTGCTGAGGAATATGGGGAGAAAGCAGTCAATAAAGTGAAAAGTGTGCGTGATGAAGGTACAGAAACAAAATGATTAGTAATGTTCTGTTTGTGTGAACAAGCAATCTTTGATGGTTTACAATAACTTTCATAACCTATGGTTACATTTATGAGGCTCCAGTCTACTTTTTATGTCTTTTGTCAAAGGTCAACCACAATTTTAAACTTTTATGGAGATTTTATGTGATATACCTACACAGAGTAGTGGATATTGCTTAGGAGAAGGAAGCTTGGGTTAGATTTTCACAAAGAAACACCTAAAAAGCCTCGCTAAGTCAATACTTAAGCAAGATGAGACGGATTCTACCTCGTTGTGACTCAATGAGCTAGAACTAGCTAACATCATACTTTCATGATATTAGCTAGAACATCATGTTTGCATGACAAGTCTTGTGTTTACATGATCTCATACAGTTTTAATAATCTGAGTTCTGCTTTTTGCCTGCTTTGCTCTTCAGTGTTCCACACAGATCCCGATGATCCTTCCTCCAGTGATGATGAGGGTATGCCCTACACCAGACCGGCCAAGTTCAAGGCAGCTCACAGCTTCAAGGGTCCCTTCGACTTTGACCAGATTAAGGTTGTGCAGGATTTGAGCGGAGAGCACATGGTAAGGCTAAATCATCCCTAAATCAGTGATCTTTGTTGGCGGTTTTACAAATGTCTCTCGTTCTGAAGGGAGCTGTTTGGACAATGAAGTTTTCTCATTGCGGGAGGCTTCTGGCGACTGCAGGCCAGGATAATATTGTTCGCATCTGGGTCCTGAAGACCGCCTTTGACTACTTCAATAATATGAGATTAAAGTACAACACTGAAGGTATGCATCTTATTAAAGTGGATTGTGCGCTCTCTGGTGGTTGAATATGCAGCAAAACGACCGATTCTGGAGTTCATGCCAGATGTTTTGGTCCTCCAGGTCGAGTTTCTCCTTCTCCTTCTCAGGAAAGCTTGTGTTCATCTAAATCTGACACAGATCCAGGGGTGAGTGCAGTAGCATCTACTCTAATTCACAAACATCTCGTGTTGATAGCAGATACAGAGCAGCATTCTACAAGAACATTTTCCTAAATGACTTACCTACCGTTTAGGCAAGCTCTGTCCCAGAGGACCCAGACACCGAAGACAGAAATGCCCCTTTCCGCCAAGTCCCCTTCTGCAAGTACAAGGGTCACACAGCCGACCTGTTGGACTTGTCCTGGTCAAAGGTAATAACTGTACCATTACACTTTTGCTCCCTCCTAACACACATTTGTATTTTTATGTTTGACTTATTCTGTGGTCTGTGCAGAACTTTTTCCTGCTGTCGTCCTCCATGGATAAGACGGTTCGATTGTGGCACATATCCAGGAGAGAGTGCCTCTGCTGCTTTCAGCACATTGATTTTGTCACAGCCATCGCTTTCCACCCCAGAGTAAGTTGGGTCGCTGTGTGTTTGTCTTGGCACAAATGCACACAAATCAATGACTTTTAACCACATTTTAATGATCATTGGATTGTGTTAAGCATGTGTGGGGTCTGCGCTGAGGTTACCTTTCACTGTTGCTACACTTTTTGGTTGAATTTTAGCAACCAAAAAGCTCCTTGCATAATCCTCACTGGATATTTGTTTCCAAACTCAAAGACTTTTTAACATGCATTATATGTTTTCATCCGAACTGAGACTTTAGTGTAAATCCACGTCTGCTGGACCGAAATGTTCAGCTGTGTTGTGGTAGAACAGGACAGACATTTTGTGAGAATATTTGGATGAGTCAAAATGAATCTTGAAAATGGAAGTAGAGTGGTAACAGTGCCAACTGCAAAGCACTTGTGGAAAATCTACAAACTCTTCACCATGTCCTAAAATCAAATGGACATGGTGAAGTTTTCTCATTGCAGTGTCGTATCATAATTTCAAACAGTTTTTAGATCAGATGAAGCAGACTTTAAGGGATCTTACCTAAAAATACCTTAAAGTATTTATGGACTGCTCCTTCTTAATTGAGAGCTACAATTTCTGCCAAACACTGTGGTTAAGTGTTCAGTCAGAAGTGAACCACAAAAATTGATGGTTACAAAAAGTGTGTGGTTCAACTTGCAAAAGGACATTTAACTCAATATTTATGGGCTGTTCATTAGTTTGATCATATATAAAAAAAATTAGGATTGTTCTCATAGTGAATACATTCAACGGTTCTGTGGTAAGCAGTTTTTCCTTTTTGTTTGTTTGTAGGATGACAGATACTTTTTAAGCGGTTCTCTGGACGGCAAACTGCGACTTTGGAACATTCCAGACAAGAAGGTGGCTTTGTGGAACGAGGTGGACGGTCAAACACGACTCATCACCGCCGCCAACTTCTGCCAAAACGGAAAATACGCCGTCATTGGCACCTACGACGGACGCTGCATCTTCTACGACACAGAGGCATCTTGTTGTTTTTATCCCTAAGATCAGTTTAATCATAACTGTTCTAATGCAAATTCACAGTCTGATGTGGGTCTCCTTTGTTTCTTAACAGCGACTGAAATACCACACTCAAATTCACGTGAGATCAACTAGAGGGAGGAACAAAGTAGGCCGCAAAATTACCGGCATTGAGCCTCTGCCTGGAGAGAACAAGGTAACGCCCCGGTTCCCTGAGAATACTTGTTAACTTTGCTGCTGTGAGGGTGGTTACGTCTCCAACTCTTGTCTGCTCCGGCAGATTTTGGTTACCTCAAATGATTCCCGCATTCGCCTTTATGACCTGAGGGACTTGTCTCTGTCCATGAAGTACAAGGGTTACGTCAACAGCAGCAGCCAGATTAAAGCCAGCTTCAGGTGAGAAATGTTCCCATCCTGCTCAACACTGAATCTGTGCTGCTTCTGCTTTCATAAAGAGAAAAGTGGTGTAAAAATTGCTTTCTGGGCCTCTTAATAATAAAAAAAAAATTATTAAAATTGCTACACAACACAGGCTGGAATAGTTTAGGATTAGATTTCAAGGTGGGGGGAGATGTAGAAAAATAAATTGGAGGAAGGTTAAAGTTTATTTCCTTTTCTGTTGTCTAAATGCCTCCAAGTTGTCTTCCAACTTTTTTGTTTCTCCTATTCTTTTATCATCCAGTTCCTTTCCTTTTATTTCCCTTTTCCTATATTTGCTACTTTCCTTCTATCCTGATTATTTCTTCCCTTCATTTCTTTTTCCCATCTTGAAATTCTCATTTCTTATTCTCCCATTATTCTTTTGTCTTTCTTTCTCAACTTCCTTCATTTTTTTAATTTCACGTTATTTCCCTTTTTTGTTCCTGAAGCTTCTGGATGTAAAGCCTGATCTTTTTAAAAATAATCTGGTAATGTCAGATATTAAATATCATCAGCCTGACCTAACTAACATGCAAGCAAACTTTGCAGCTCCTTGGGGCCCTCTGCTGGCCTCTGATATGAATTTCAATTAAAAACTAATCGTGAAACTGTTCATGCCTTCCTCCAGCCATGACTACTCCTTCATTGTCAGTGGCTCAGAAGATAGATACGTTTACATCTGGAGCACTTACCATGATTTGAGCAAATTCACATCTGTACGACGAGACCGCAATGACTTCTGGGAAGGAATTAAAGGTATCTACTGTGTTGCCCACAAAATACATTTATTTATGTATTGGTCTTAACTCTGAAGTGTTTTTTTTTTCTTCTTGCAGCACACAACGCAGTGGTCACCTCTGCAGTATTTGCCCCCCATCCAGATCTTATTGTTCCTCAAGAAACACTCGCAGAGAAACCAGAAGCGGACCGCAAGAGCCTGGACTCCACCGACTCTGAGACGATACCATCAGGTCCGTTTTGTCCTGCATCTTATTTCCTCAAAACGAAGTATTGCATTTCAGTGCTGCTTATTGTTGCTTTCTTGTTCCAGGAGCCCTGAAAACGGATCACACAGAGGTTCTGCTCTCTGCTGACTTCACGGGAGCAATTAAAGTTTTTATTAACGTCAAAAAGTACTGAGCGCTCCACAAGCAGGCCTGTTCAGCAGAGATTAGTCCTAAAGAGAGAGACTGTACAAAGTGGGCAAGTTGGGGTTCCTTGTCTTATTTCTTTTTTTATCTTTCGTACCAGGTAACTGAACGGTTTGGCATCTAGAGATCCAGAAAAGTTGTCTGAGCTCAGACATGTAAGTTTCTAACTGTGTGGCCAAGAATTACTGTAGAAAACATAAAAATCTATTTTCAATAGCTATGAGCACCTTCATTGTTTCCTTGGTTTTCAGGTAAGACAAATTTCAAAAGCAAAACGGTCAAAGTCTTTCAGGTGAAATGTCAAGTTGGATTAAAACGACAAATTCCTTTGTTATTAAAATAAGTCATTTCAGTGTGTTTGACGTTACTAATGATTCAAATTGGGTGTCCTAAATGTTTCAGAAAATCACTGATTACTTTTGATAAATGCCCTGGTCAGAAAACACATTTCATGATAGCACTGTAATCCTACAGCTTTTGTAAACAAAATGATGGAATTTCCTCAATAAAAAAAAATCTGCACAAATACAAATTCTCTCTGGCAATCTTTTTCAAAAACCTTGTCGAGTTCAGGAAACGTCTTCCACAGCAACATTCTTCACCAACGGTGATTTATTTAGTGTTGGCGTTTTGCAGCAACATGTCATTTTAAAAACAAAATATATCTAAGTAGGTACAGTGGTGAAACTTCACAATAGAAAAAGGTGCTGAGTCTCGTGTGGGTTGTCGAAGGTGAAGCCGAGAGAAGAGACTGATGTCAGAGTCCTGAATCTGGTTAGTGTTTGCTCTTCTTTGCCTTCTTGTGGGAGCGGTGTGGGGACCGGGACTTGGATTTGCTGACCTTCTGGTCTGGAGATGGCGATCGGGAACGTTTGGACCATTTAGGAGACTTTGTTCTGAAAAATGGGCATAGAATAAATTATCCTAAGCTCATCTATATGGAATAAGAGCTTTTTTCTTTAAATTTATATTTTACCTTGATGGAGAGATGCTCCTTGATTTCCTCGGCTTTTCTCCAAGTTTACTGCTCAGCCTTCTATCTCCGTCCTCATTTTTTTTGCTCCTCTCTTTGTGTCTCCTTTCTTCCCTCTGCCCGTCTTTAGACTTCGACCTCTCAGTCTTTTCTTCGTTTTTGTGAAACTCCTAGAGGCGGTAGTGTAAACATTTTAACTGATTCAATCTCAGAAATCTCTTAAGTTTGTTTGCAAATTGTTCACAAAATAAGCTATTTTATTAGACAATTTGAACAAAAGTTGAACTACTACACAAAAATACTATGAAATTGGTGGCTGTATAAGTATTTTAGCACTGTATTCCCACACAGTGCTGTAGAAAAAGGGTGTAGGTTTATGTTTCATCCAGTAGATGGCGCACATGACTTAAAAGTGACACTAATAATTTAATCACAACTCAGAAAATGCTCTTCCAGTTTCCTATTGAAGAACACAGATTTGATTTCTTATGGTAAATTATGATGATAGCGCTAACAATTTAAACATGTTCTTATGAAATAATTTATCCCAAGAGGACCTGCTCACCTTCTGCAGCAGCTTTTTCCTGTAGTTCTCCACTTGTTGCTGTATGCTCATTCCAGATTTCTTCTGCCTCTTTCCAGATTCCAACTCATCTTGGAGTTTCATAACCTTTACCTGGTTCAGAAACATTGGGTCAGTTTTACTAAGTTTTACTGTTTAAATACAATCCTATTTGATACTAAACTTTATCTAAAATATGTTATGAGTCTCTCCAAACAAGTGTTTGTTTCTTTCGTGAATAGAAAATTGGACACATTTATTAAAAGTAATTTGTGTACAAGGACTGAAACTGAGATCATCTCTAGGCCAGTTTATGATAAATGATGGAGCAAACACTTACTTCCACCTCCCTCAGCCTTTTTCTTTTACTCTCAGACATATGAGGGAAAACTGCCCCCTCATAGTTGGGCGACCTGCAGGAATCGGCGCTGCTGTCACTCTCTGAGTCCTCGTCTTCATCCTGTGAGTTACAGCTGGAGCCAGATAATGGAGTTACTACAACTTTCCTTTCCTTCCAGATAAATGAAATACTTTTGATGATACTCAGCTTTACCTGATATGAACCTTCTTTTCATCATCCTGCTCCCCTGAAGTATCCCACTTGGAGTCAGTTTGGACTGAAAGAAAATAAGCAGAACCATTCAGGGTCAAACCAGTCACAGGAGCGTCCAGCTACGTCTTACCAGTATCGCCGATCTTCTCCCATTTAGACAAAGGCACTTTGGAGAGCGGAAGGTTGCTTTCATCCACTGAGGACAAAACAAACCTCAATAAGCAGCAGACAAAGTAGCAGTAACAGCTGTATAGACATTAAACAGTGGAATTACAGGGAACTCCATCAATATCATCAATAGGAGCGTTTAGGGGTACACCGTCGATGTCATCAACGGGGACGCCGTCCAGGGGGTCCCAGCCCAGGGGGCAGCCATCTATGTCGTCCACTGGAGTTTTCCCCATGGGGAGCCCGTCTATAAGCCTTCTGTCCAACGGTGCACCGTCAATCTCACCAGATACCTCCTCCAAAATGACAAACGCATAAAACTCACTTGGTCTAATTGGTATTTGTCAACATCTCCGGCTGGTGAGGCAACACAAAGCAGCAGTCGCCTCTGCAGCGAGGAGATAAGCTCACCTCCGGCGTCTCCGTCTCCTCCTCTCCTGCTTTGGCGAAGCCCAAAAAGATGTTCTGAAGCTGGATTAGATAAGGCTGGGGATATATGGCCCAGTCTTCCCATGCTCTAAAACAATTCATGGCCTTTTGCTGTGGAGACAGGGAGGTTAAAATGTTTCAGCTTTCCCTTCTCTTCTATTTTGGCTGAAGCAAATGACTTTTGTTACCTTAAACTGCTCAGCCTGCAGTCTGGCTTGAATGTTTTTATGTGCTGCATGTAGATGCTCAAATATCTGTGGTAGCTTGCTTTCAAAACTGCAGAGAATTATTTTAAAACCCATTACATTTACCACAAATAAAGACATGGGTGTTCTAAAAGTGAGTTCAAAGAAAGTATCTTACTATTTCCGATAATATGATGCCCCAGCTACTTTGGCGCACGAGTTGTGCAAGATGTCCGACACAAGATATAATCTAGAAATCTGTGGGGATATTGATATAATGAAAATATGTGAGCGCATATTTTACAGCAGACAGGAAGGATTGAACTTAATCGCTGCTTATGTCTGTAACATGATAAATGTAAAAAAAATACTGTAAAATAGCAGAACTCGCCTTCTTCTGAAGAGGAACTTGAAGCGAACAAAAGGAATCTGAAATGTGTCCCACGACTTCTTCTGCTGCATCTGCCCGGTCCAGACAGAACAACATGGCGTTGGCGATGTCCTCCCTGCTGGGAGTCAGCTCCTCCACCAGAGTCTCCAGTCTCTGTCGGTGCCTGGAGTGGGTGGGAACATCAAACATTCAGCTCGGATCAAGCTGGAAGCCGACGTGCATCCCAGATCCAGACTTACTCGGTTCTGAGCTGGCCCTTCTTCACCTCCTCCTCGGGAGGAGCGGCCTCCTCGACCGCCGCTCCCTCGTCACTCCTCTCAGTGTAGCTGTTGAGGATGGGGGGTCGCCATAAAGAGCCTCCTCTGAACAGCCGAAACTCTGCTGTCCTCCACTTTGTCGGGGACTCGCCCTGTGGGACACAAGACGAAATGTTAAATCCACACGTCATTTTATATAAAAACAAAGATTTCTAAAGACGTTTCAGTCACGCAAACTCACCTGGAGGATAGAGAACAATTTCCAACGATAATACACATGATCTTGGCTTTTGTTGTCAAAAAGAAACCTGAGAAAAAAATTATTTATAAATGAACCTGGAGTTGTTTTATTTTTGTACTAATGGAACTTCATAGTTTAGCATAGCTACCTGTAATCTGGGTTGTTTTTTTCTTTGTTCATTATCATGGCTTCAAATAACGGGCCTTCACGCACCACAAACTCTACCATCCTGTGAATAAGGAATAACAGATTCCTGTGGGGAGAAATGGCAGCGTGAGTAAGAATACACACTGAACCCAGAGTCAAACACAACATAAAGACACCAATCACCTCCTCACTAAACTACAGGCCTTACTGTATTGTTTCAGCTATAATTTAGGCTTAAAAAACTTTAGTAACTGTTCTTGACTTCAAACATTGATCCCCACATTATCATTGGGAACGTTAATAGCAGGAACCCCTGATAAAAATGTGTAAAACCCTGTTTGTGTTTTATCGCAGTAACATAATAATGATAATTTTTAAAAAAATCAATCTAACCTTCAGCATCAATGCATTTGTTGAGTGGGGACAAAAAAAATATTCCCAGCAAATTTGTGAACAAAATCATCATTCCTAACAACTCCTATAAAATAAAATTAAATAAACTTTAATGTTGAAAAACTTCATGGCATTATGACACACCAATGAAAATTAAGAACGGGTCACGATTGGATCTTTACAAACTGTAACAATATCAAAAACTCCAGGCTTAATTTAACATTTATTTTAACAGTCCTTCAGTTTTCTACATTTTACTGTGTGAGATTATACTACTTATATGAAGGCTTCATCAGGAGTCCCGGTTTTTTGTGGAGAATACTAATTTAAACCTTAGTAGATTCTAGTTCCAGGGATGGCTACATTTAGATATTTCAATGAAATAACAGTCAAACTATTACATATAGAAACAATTCAAAGGTAAAATATCCTGTGTAGCTCCTGCAGATTGATGGAGCCCAATCACTAAACCAAAGTTAGATTCGCATCATCTGCACCTACTTGTACCCTTGAACAGGTGCTATAATTTACAGAACTGTACTAGAAAGCTAGCGCTAAATGCTAATTACATCCTGACTGGGTTAGCATTGAAGCTATCTGCCTTCCAGCTGTATCGGTCTGCAGTGTCTCAGCCAGCCCATGCGAACCCCCGACCCTGAAAAGAGTATTTCTGTACGTTTACTAACTCCCACTCTCTATGTGACTTACTATATGTGTATGCAAAGTGCAATAAATGCAGTTTGTACTGAATATGCATGATTACAAGATGACTGCGCCTCAGCCTCTGTCTTATGACACTAATGCTATGACAGCTGGTCAGTCGTAGGAAGAAGAGTGTGTGTACCTTTCGGTTGGGATAACCACTTTGACTACGGCTTCGGACAGAGTCTGTTTGTGAAGTCAAACCAAATAGTGAAGATATTAAAAAGTGAGTACCTGTACAGATGAAACACTGCAGGATACATACAGCATAGAAAACAATGGAGGCATTCATGATCAGACAACTGGGGAGGGATGGTAAAAACTTCAACATGTAGGGGGGAAAAACTGTTATGGAACCCAAAACTAAAGACTTCAGTTACTGATGTGCACCCAAAGAGGGCATCAGACATTTAATACGACCCTGCATCCTATAAAACTGCAATGCAGGAACAAATGAGCAAGTAACAGAATGCTTTTTTTTTAAAAATCACTTAACAATAATTCATGATTGATTTT